CCCAAATCAGTGACCACCCTCAACAGCAAGGCATTCACACTCCTAAACTCTGGTTTCACCTTTCACCATCAGCCATCAGGCAAAACAAACGATATGTTTTCATAGGACATAGAAACAGCATTCTTAGATGTAAATGGCTTATGGCAATAGTCGCCAAAATGAAGCTATAATAGATTTTAAATGCCTCTGCCATTTGCTCATAGAAACCTAAAGGTCTTAAGTAGGCACTTTCTCCCTTGAATTTAATAAGGTTTTAAAATCTGTGAAAGTAAAAATCTTCCACGACAGTGGTCTATTTTGGTCACCAAAAGTTTTTTTCATTTTTTTCCCTAAAGCTTTTTGTCATTATAGAAACAAGACACAACTTAGGATAGGCTCCACCATCTGTCGGTTTGTCTCTCTGTGGAGGGAGGCTTGCATGTTACCGTGATGCTAGAAGCTATGCCATCGGTATTTCAAATACCAGCAGGGTTACCTATGGGGACAGGTTTCAGTGGAGCTTCCAGACTAAAAAAGTCTAGGAGACCTGGTTATCTACTTCTAAAAATCAGGAGTGAGAACCTTAAGGGTCACAACCAAACACTGACTCATTTGCTTTGGGTGTGTCACAGGAGGTTGGTTGCTGGGGGAGGGCATCACGTTTGGTGAAGGAGGGGCCAGTGAGACCCTCAGTAGGTGGATGAAAAGCAGAGCCGCAGCAATGGACTTGAACATGTCTGATTGTGAGGGTGACACAGGACTGAGCAAAGGTTTGTTCTGTAGTCATAGGTCACCGTGAGGTGGATTTGACAGCAGATTACTCAATGGCACTAACATCATTGTCAACATTATTAAGAAAAATATTTTATACAGGTCAAAAATTTTACTCAGTAATACTCTTTCAACTTGTTCTTCTCTTCCATTTCCTTTTCTTTTGAAAATTAAAGCCACTGCAATTCAGTAGATTGATTTCATGGTCCTGGGTGGGTCACAACCAAGATTTCCAAACGTTACAAACGTATCCACTTTATTGCCTTGTGCGTGCCAGGCACTATAGTTAGGTGTGGGAGACAGCTCAACCCCTATCCTCAGTGAGCACACAATGGATGCTACATTAAGGTACGCACCAGCTGCCATGGGAGTACTCAGCAGGAATTTATCTTAATACAGCAGGAGAATTTTAATCAGGGAATGGACTTGACTAGATCTGCATATTACACAGGTCATTTTGGCTGCAATGGAAGCCAGTCAGAGGGCCGGGAGCAGGGAAACCAGTGAGGAGCCTGTGGTAGTGGTCAACTTGAGCTAAGTGGTAGCCTCAGCTGAAGAGGCAGCAGTGGGAACGGAGAGAAAAGGAAGCAATCAACTTGGTGATTGGGTGTCAGGGTGAAGAGGCGGCGGCAGTATGGTGCCCTTTACTGAGATGGGGAAACCAGCGAGTTGCCTTTGAGGTGCCAGGGCGCTCCCCAAATGATGATATCCAGTTTATTATATGCTTCTGAGGCTCAAAGGGAATCTGGGCTAGGAAAAAAAGAGTAGGAATCATCAGAGTAGATATTTAAAGCCAAAGGAGACTCCTTAGGAACGGTCTATCTACTGATACTACAGATGTATATCATAGAAACGGACACTGGCATAACGCAAACTGAATATAACCGACACACATGGAAGGCAGCAGCAGGCTCAAAGCTCCACATTTTTACCGTCATCAAAAGGTTTTTTGGCTTAAACACATCTGATAGTCATTTTTTAAATAAACAGATGCTGGGAATATCACTAAAGCTGATAGCAAAGAAGTAGAATTTCAAACTTCCATTTATTCCTCCAAAAGGTTCAAATTCTGAGTATTACACATACACATAAATTCAATTGTGAAGGAAATAGAAAACATCAAAGGATCTTGTTTCTAAAAAATTTTTATTAGAGTCCACCAATTTGTTTGTTGGTCTGATATATAGAGGCTGGTTTCTGTACCCAAAACAACACAACGGAAAGACGGAAAGAGCTAGTGAAGTACTGTTTATACTGCACAAAGCACTGGGTCATAAACACAGGCAGACAAAGGAAAGTTTAAGAAGTTTCTCATGTTTATTATCTGATTTACATTTGACAAAGCAAAGTGCACAAAGAGCTGTTTGACAAAGTTCAATGGCTCTGATACCAAGTTCTGTCTTGTTTCCTTGGCCGAGGTCACAGAGGGCAGTGATGACCACTCGGGTGGCTGTGTGTGGCAATCACTCTGTGTCTGACACACTATGCTGTCTGTGGAGTGCAGGCCTGCACGCATCTGACATCAAAGACATGGACCATCAACACACTAACAGCCCGATTTCCAGATGTCAGGTTAATGTTAGTAAGTACCAACTAATAATCATGTGCTAGGGCGTTCAGAGGAGTCCTGGTGTGGTGCTGTAGAATCAGCACTGGACTGCTAACCCCAAGGTTGGCATTTCAAACCCACCAGCTGAGTTGGAACCGACTTGATGGCACTAGGAGCAATAAGAGCAGGGTGCTCTCTGAGCTGCTTCTAACGTATTTCCTTCCTTTGCCAAAGTCTGTGCTGTATGTCAAGTGAAAGATGTATACAGCACAACATTAAAAAAAAAAAAACCTACTTTAACAGCAGTGACTAAATTACTTCTAAGACCAGCTCCTAAGGCTAGTTCTATGTGTTTTGGAATCATCAATAATTTAAAATGAGTTTTCATAGTTAAAACTTTCAGTTCTGAGCTCACAAAGATATTCCTCAGACTTATTAATACACAGCAATACCTGAGGTATAATTATTGAAAACATTTTTGAAAAAGGATCAAAAAGGCGGGAGGGCTTCCTAGAAAGTACATACGGAGCTGATATTAGGAGAAAAAAAAGTGTGACCAGTCCTAAAAGTTAACAGATAAGCTGAGGAGGAACTTGCTATAGATTTTCAGGCTATACCCAAAGGCAGCAAACCCAGTTTTTAAACAAGGATTTATTTCTAGAAACCAGCACACATAGTATTCACCTATTGTTTTTGGTGGGACATCGACATTAACCCATCTCCGATGCTCTTAATCAGATGTGCTAATTTGGCTGCTGCCCTCAAGTCTATCGACTCTGACTTGTTAAAGACAGAGAACTGCCCCATCTGGCTTCCCAGGCTAAAATCATTACAGAAGCAACTGTCTTCTTCCTTTCATGGAGCAGTTGGTGGGCTCAAACCTCCAACATTCTGGTTACAGACAAGTGCTTGACCAAGTGTGCCACCAGGCTCCTTAGTTTCTCCCAATCTCCCTCCTTAGTGATATGAAATGATCATGTAAGCATCAGCTATAAAAAAGTACACTAATTATATAGAACTCAATACAGAACATTAAAAAATCTAGCTTAATTTATAGCTATTTATAAAATATACATAAACCTGGTAACTTGACACTTTTATTCTACTCTCTGGTCTTATATTTGTCTACTTTCTGATGTTTCTTGGATGATGAATGATTAAATGTCCAGGCAAGAGAAAGACTAGTTTCTTAGAGAACAACTAAAGGTTTAAGAACTGGTTAAAGTAAGCAGAAATGGAAACTCTAACGCTACTTGCTGAAAAGTGAATGAGACTATTTAGGAAGCAGAAACATCCGGAATTCTTCTGTGCAGTGCCTGCCATGTTCAGGGGAGACTCAAGTCAGAGCCGCTGCTGTGTTTGCTCTGCCCACCTCAGCAGGACTGAGTGGAGGGAGGAGAAAAGCAGAAGACATTTGCACTTTTTGTCTTTGAGAAACTTATAAAAATTTTATCAAATAGTTATCAAAAGGATAGAAAACTCCCACATTCTTACCCCTGCCTTGATGTTGAATTTTCTTTCCCTTTGAGCTCACAGCTCTTACCCAGGAGAGGAGCCTCAAAAGAGAGGCAGAAGATACCTGCCTTTGGCCTGGGAAGAGGTGTGCCAACGGGAGGCCCACTGGCAAGAGCAAGATTCTCCTCTAAAAACTCCCAAAAAAACTGTTGATTCAGACTATAGTGACCCTGGAATAGGTTTTCTGAGGCTATAAATCCTTATGGGAGCAGAAAACCTCATCATTCTCCCTTGGAGCAACTGGTGGGTTTGAACTGCTGACCTTGAAGTTACTAGCCCCTAGTGCTTATCCTACAGTGCCACCAGGGCTCCTTAGAACTCTCCTAGACAAGAGTTTTTTTTTTTTAGGAAATTGCCTTCCAGTGAAATCTGGACTAAGGAGCAACACATTTGCATATTAAGCACCAAAATGATAAGGTACCATGCTCCATTTTCAAAAATCATTGGCCCCTTCACTCACCTCTCCATCATGTCTTTCATATAATGATGCTGATTTCAGAATGGCCCTGTCTAGATAAAGCCATGGTGTCATCAGGTGAGGAGCAGATCTTAATCAACAATGATCAGGAAACAGATCTGTTTTCCCAATTCACAGCTTGCGTCACACTGCTGACTGCTGAAATCTAACCCCAAAGTCTCACTTGGCCACGTTAGAGTTTCTAAAAAAGAACCCCAATGAAATAACAAATGCTTTCATTTTCCCTTTAACAAGTTTGTTCTCTGCTTCTAGAGATACCAAGAACAAGGTAGGTGTGTTTTAATTTTATTTTACCAAGAAAAAAGAAGCCACACACAATCTCAAAGCAAGCACCTGGGTTTTACATCAGTTTATAATTTAATGTGCCTGAGAATTTTTGTGCAAATACATGTCATCTTTCATTAAAAATATGCATAGCACACTTAGGAAAAAAATTAATTGCAACCAACTTTCCTTATAAAAATTTTTACATATATAAATATACAATATTCCCTAATTCCTATTGATTGCACTCTGGTTTAACTCCTTCCAGCCTCCAAGGAAATTTGAAAGACATACAATTATGTTCATCCTCCTTGGCCACTGCACTTATCCGAAAGAAATATTCTGGAAGCAAGTTTCCTTGGTTCCAATATACCCCTATTTTCCTTCTTCTTGAAGTAAACCTTTTTCAGTACCACCCCTACCAATGTTGGGCTTTGTGCGTGTGTTGTATAGAAACACAAATTTTAAAAAACCAACAGCCAGATGCCTTCCTTAATTGCAAACACAAAAGGAATTTGGGTAGTATTTGTGCTTCTAGTGGCTGAAAGGCCTTAAAAAGAAGGAACTAGGGAGTTCCCATTTCTGATCTTAGCAAAAAAGTAAAAGTTCTTGTTTGGCTAATGCTATGAACATACCATCTGACAGATGCATTATTTAACCTGACACCAATTCAGGAAATGATACATGCCATCTCACTATTATCTCAGCAAAAGACTGAGTTCATTCCACCAATCTTTCCTAATGGTTTTCTTTAAGCAAGTCAACACTGCTCCTCCTTTTGCCAGCTCTCAGTAACTTGGGCTCTCCCCACTTGGAATTACCTGAAGCACACGTGCTAGCAAGTTTAGTATTTCTGGTATGTTGCAGTACTACAGAAATTATTTTTTATCTTCAAGAAAAGAAAATCTAACTGAAGGAGTGTATTAAACTTTTCTTTCTGTTCTGCCTCCAAATACACATAGTCCTGTCACTTAAAACTTTAATTGACCAGACCTGGTCCATTAGGGCCTCATTTCAATTCTGTTTCCATCTCTCCACTTCCCTCTTTTCACATTCACAACCCTTCCACAACATTCCTTTACTCTCAAATCAGACCAGACCATCCGTGCCAGTGCACGCCTGTCCTTTATATGCTAATCTGCACAAGAGGTCAGTTAACTACTGAGCCTCAGTCCTCCTTCAAGATACCCATTTTAGGTGATGATGTGCAAATCGGAGTTCCAAAGCTACTCAAAATGACTGGAAGACTCTGATTCCTCCTCAGGCCACCTAATAAATTGCTACCCGAATTTAAATAAACAGGAGAGTCTGGTTTTTGAAGATCAATTTCTGCCTCTTGGCTTCTTCCATTTCCCTGGGCACCAGGGGTCTTGATGACTCTGGCTATGCCCAGTCTCTTCAGCCTGTCCACTAAATTCATCTTCAATTGGCCAACGTCAGGAGAGTTCCGGGATGGTCTCAAGCCATACATCTCCTGAAGGAATGTTTCTGCTGGTCGAGAGGCCAAAAAATTTTCAGAGACATGCGCTCGAGGCTCAAAAGGCAAAGGAGAAGGACAAGGTGAGTGAGAAGGTGAATTTGGCGGAGTGGAAGGAATAACCAGGGATTTGGGGGGAGTTTGGAGCATGGGGTTCTCTGAAACTGGGCTATGGTATACTTTAGCAGAGATGCCTCGCTCTTGGAGAAGTTTGGCCAAGCTCATGGTGCTACTAAAGGTTATGGTAGCATCGCGTCGGTTGGTGATGGATTCCCCAATGCTGAGTCTATAGGACATGGCGGGAGAGTTCACTGCTGTGCTTGATGAACTGCTTCCACTACTTCCACAGGATAATGACGGGAACCCAGAGCTTTCAAAACAGGAAACAATTAGGAGAGAAAGTTTAGGAAACAAAAGTAATTTCCAAGTCAACACTCAAAGTAATTTTAAGTTCTCGTTAGTGAAGCTAGGACCAGTATACCATTAGGCACTGTACTGGGTGGAAAACAGTCAAGGAATAAAAATTCTGATATAATAGTTCTCTGACTGGCTCATTTTTTTGTAATTTGCAACATAATTATTATTTATTTTCAATAGAATGTGAAAAAGTTGCTGTACTCTTAAACACTGCTGCTGCTGCTGCTCACGGAGTCTCTGAGGCTGTAACTCTCGGTGGGAGCAGAAAGCCTTATCTTTCTCCCACAGAGAGGCTGCTGGAGTCAAACTGCTGACTTTTCGCCTAGCAGCGCCCAGGTGTAACCTATTACACAGAGCTCCTTTAAATTTAAACATTAAAACAAGCTTCAATTCAGATGAATTTTGTGATAGAAACGTAAAAAAATTTAAAGACATAAATTACTTTTAGTAATTTAAAAAATGAGCTATAAGAAAACACAACAAACCATGGATAAATAATTCTTCAAGTGTTTAGAAAATTCAACATTTCGTAATTAGACCTAATATGTTCCTCTAAGGAGAAATTAACTTCTTAACCTTTCAACTCTACTACTGAGAAATAAATAACTTCTTATTAAATTCACATTTTCTCAAGAATGCTAATTGCGAACAATGGAATGAAAGTTTCTTATCCTTGCCTTAGAAATACATGCTTCTGAGAAAATTTTTTAAAAAGTTAAAACTTTTGACAGCTATAAGAATCTTTCTTCTCCTATGAAGCTAAATAGGAGACTGTTGGGAGGCGGGAAGCAAGTTACATAAGAACTAAAATATTGTATCACAAAGAATCACTGCTCACACGGCTGTTGAGTTCAAGCATGACACACACTGTAAAGTGAAGGAATGGAGAGCTAGAACTTAGTACGTCTTTGTCCGGTTTCTACCCCCTGGGCAAATGTTAGCATGGTTCATAGATAAATTTTCATTTCAACACAAACTACTTAGTATATCACGATCTGTAAAGATATGAACAAAATTATAGAATTAATAAACACACTTTCTAGAACACCAAAGTGTGTAAAAAGCAAAAGTAAAGTTTGACTCAATGCTCTGTGGTCAGACCAATCCTATGAAGAACCTGTGATTGTTACGGTTTATATGTACTCCAAGTCTCCCACCTCTCCCGGGATCCCCACTGAACTGTAGAACTGCCTTTCCTTTCCCAAATTCTATGCTTGGTGTGAGGGTATCAGCCTGATGGAGTTCCTTCAGGAACCAATTTTATACAATGCTTTATAAAATTGGTTGTTTATTGTAAGAACACTGTGGGTATGTCTGTTCATTCAGACTCTATAGAGGTCTTTATTGGCTATCACCCAAATGTTCCCCTAAGCAACTGATTTGCTGCTGTCTTATAAACTTTGTGAATCATAACCTTACTTCCCTCCAAAATGGCAGTTAGAAAGTTAAAGACTTAAATATACATGGCTCACTATACATAAGGGTTTATGATACAATTTATATGCTAGTTTATTCCTCTCACCCACGATTAGTTTCCTTTTTCTTCATCTTTCTTGTCTTGTTAACATTAGCTATTTCGTAGGTATCATTGAAATCTACCTTAGAGAACTGGTAGGATAGTAACAGCAGTAAGGTGGCTTAATAAAATCCCTGAATTATATGCACAATATCCAGGTTCTAGCCTCAGTTGTGGTGAGCCCCTGAGGTTGTAAGACACTCAAAATGCGACTGGGGAAGAGTTTCCTCCTTAAAACAGAGTTGACCATGGTGACTCAAATGGGGTAAAGCCTATGGGACCTTCATATACGGATGGGGAACAACTCAAAATGAAGAGAAACAGCTGTAAACAACCACTGATAATCAGAACATGGAAAGTATGAATCTAGGAAGATTGGGAACTGTCAAAAATGAAATGGAACACACAAACATCATTATCCTAGGAATTAGTGAGCTGAAATTGACTGACACTGGCCATTTAAAATCTGACAATCACATGGTTTACTATGCCAGGAATGACAAATTGAGGAGGAATGGTGTTGCATTCATCATCAGAACACATCAAGATCTGTCTTGAAGCACAACACTGTCTGTGATAGGATAATACCCATACACCTACAAGGAAGACCAGTTAATACAACTATTATTCAAATTTATGCACCAACCACTAAAGCCACACTGATGATGATGCTGAAGAATTCTACCAACTTCTTCAGTCTGAAATTGAGCAAACATGTAATCAAGATGTATTAATAATTGCTGGTGATTGGAATGCATAGGTTGGGAACTAAGAGGGAGGATCAGTCATGGGGAAATATGGCCTTAGTGACAGAAATGATGTTGAAGATCGCATGATAGAATTTTGCAAGACCAATCACTTCTTCATTGCAAATACCTTTTTTTAAACAACATAAGATGACTATACACATGGGCCTCACCAGAAGTAATACAGAGAAATAGACTACATCTGTGGAAATAGATGGTGGAAAGATTGTGTTGTTGTTGTTAGTGCTGTCGGGTGGATTCCGACACACAGTGACCCTGTATAGGGTTTCCAAGGAGCAGCTGGTGAGCCTGAACCACCAACCTTGCAGTTCAAGTGACTGCAGTCTGAGACATTAGCCCACAGCGCCACACCAGGTGGAAAGGCTCTGTATCATTAGCCAAAACAAGGCCAGGAACAGACCGTAGAACAGACCATCAATTGTTCCTATGCAAGTTCAGGCTGAAGCTGAAAAGATTAAAACAAATCCACGAGAGCCAAAATATGACCTTAAACATATCCCACCTGAATTCAGAGATCAAGACCAGATTTAATATATTAGACACTAAAGAATGAAGACCAGAAGGGTTGTGGGATGACATCAAGAACATCATACAGGAAGAAAGCAAAAGGTCATTAAAAGAAAAGAAGGGAAGAAAAGACCAAAATGGATGTCAGAAGAGACTCTGAAACTTGTTCTCCAGTGTAGAGATGCTAAAGCAAATGAAAGAAATGAGGAAGTAAAGAGCTGAACAGAAAGTTTCAAAAGGCATCTCGAGAAGACAAAATCAAATATTATAATGAAACGTGCAAAGATCTGGAGTTAGAAAACCAAAAGGGAAGAACATACTCAGCATTCCTCAAGATGAGGAACGGAATAAAAAAATTCAAACCCTGGCTTACAATATTGAAGGATTCTATGGGTAAAATGAAGTCCTGGTGTGGCACTGCAGGTTAATGTGCTGGACTGCAAGGTCACTTTGAACCTCAAGGTCGGCGGTTCACTCCTTGGAAACCCTATCACAGGGTCACTATGAGTTGGAACTGACTCAATGATACTTAAGAACAACAACAATAGGTAAAATATTGAATGATTTAGAAAGCATCAAAAGAAGATCAAAGGAATACAGAATCACTGTACCAAAAAGAAATGGTCAATGTGCAACCATTTCAAGAGGTAGCATCTGATAAAGAGCCAATGATCCTGAAGGATGAAATCCAAGGTGCATTGAAGGCATTGGTAAAGAGCCAGGCTCCAGGAATAGGTAGAATACAAACAAATCTTTTAACAAACTGACAAAGCTCTGGAGGCACTCACTCATCTCTGCCAAGAAATTTGGAAGACAACTACCTGGTCAGCTGACTGGAAGAGATCCATATCTGTGTCCATTCCAAAGAGAGGTGATCCAACCGGGACTGGATGACTGGATGATCAGAGCTCAATCAGGAGAAGAAAGAAGGGGGGGAGGGGTTTGGAAAGAAGATTGAGCTGATCCAAGCTGATGAACTTGACCTATGCATACGAATGCAGTGATACAAAAGAGGCAACAAATCCTTACAGCAAGAAACATTCCCACCCCCTCCACACACAGTGTAGACATATAGGGGCAACTTGGACATTGGATACCCAAATGGGGAGGGAGGGACTACAAAGGCAAGAAGTAACTGGCTTATAAGCTTTCAAGAGGGATCCTAGAGCTAGGGGGCATGGAGGAAGGCAGAATCACCAATGAGTACTATCCAATTTGTCTAGGTGGAGCTGATGAAATGAAATACAGATGGGTTACGTGCGATACTGTAGTGAATAATGGTTATCAAGACGGATTGTGAGTGTTGGAAATGCAAGGGTAGATGTTTTGTAGCAAGGAAGAGTGCGATTATTTCTCCATCTAGGAGCGGAGGTCTCTGGGACCACCAACGGATAAGAGCCGAGAACTGGACCCCACCCAGAGAACCGGGATGCCTGAGATGGAGACAGAGATGATGACATGGAGGAATGAAGCGGCTAGGGACTTTGGATCCAGAGAGGGAGAGGAACTGAGGTCCGAAGAGTGAGGGGGTAGGGGAGAGTGTAGAGCACGGGCTTCTAGGATATGCCCTTTGGTCGGAAGATGATGCATGGAGGGGATTGGAACCATGGCAATGTAATGATATACGATGGAATGAATATGGAACTGAGGTTCTCTCATGTAAACTATCATATAATTCACAATAAAACATTTAAAAAAACCACAAAAAACAAAGAGAGGTGACCCAAAAGAATGTGGACATCATCGGACAATATCATTAATATCCCATGTAAGCACAATTTTGGTAAAGAGAATAAAAAATGGCTGCAAATACACATTGACAGAGAACTTCCAGAGGTTCAAGCTGGATTCAGAAGAGGATGTGGAATGAGAGATATTACTGCTGATATCAGATGGGTCTTGGCTAAAAGCAGAGACTACCAGAAAGATGTTTATCTGTGCTTTATTGACAATGCAAAGGCTTTTGATTGTGTGGATCAGGACAAGCTATGGATTACATTGCGATGCATGAGTATTCCTGAACACTTAATTGTGCTCACAAAGAACCTGTACACATACCAAGAGGCAGTTGTTCGAACAGAACATGGGAACACTGAACGATTTAAAATTAGGAAAGGGTTGTATTCTTTCACCATACTTATTCAACCTGTATGCTGAACAAATATTCAGAGAACCTGGATTATATGAAGAAAAACGTGGCATCAAGATTAGACGAAGGCTCATTAACAACCTATGATATGTAGATAATACAACCTTGCTTGCTGAAAGTCAAGAGGATTTAAAATACTGATGAAGATCAAAGGTCACAGCTTTTGGTATGGGTTGTACCTCAATGTAAAGAAAACGAAAATCCTCACCACTGGACCAATAAATAACATTTATATAAATGGAGAAAAGATTGAAGTTGTCAATAACTTTATTTTGCTTGGATCAAATATAAACATTCATGGAAGCAGCAGTTAAGAAGTCAAATGATGTATTGCATTGGGCAAATTTGCTGCACAAGATCACTTTAAAGTGTTGAAGGGCAAAGATGTTAGTTTGTGGACTAAGGTACACTTGACCCAAGCCATGGTATTTTCAGTAACTTCATATGCATGTGAAAATTGAACAGTGAATAAGGAAGACCATGGAAGAATTGATGCATTTGAGCCACGGTGTTGGAGGAGAATATTAAAGGTACTATGGACTGCCAAAAGAACCAACCAATCTCTGTTAGAAGTACAGCCAGAGTGCTTCCTTGAACCAGGATGGCCAGATTTCGTCTCTCATACTTCGGACATTTATCAGGAGGGACCAGTCACTGGAGAAGGATATCGTGTTTGGTAAAATGGAGGGTCGGAGAAAAAGAGGAAGAGCCCCAATGAGATGTACTGGCACAACGGCAGCAATGGGATCAACTGTAGCAATTGATTGTGCGGTTGGTGCAGGACGCGGTAGTGAGCCATTCTGTTGTGCATAGGGTCGCTATGAGTCGGTATTGACTCGATGGCACCTATCAACAACAACAAGCCCCGGTTTGGTCATTTACTAGTTCTCTTCCCTTGGCTGTTGGTTCAAGTACCTCAGTTTCTTCATTTATATAAAATATACTTGTCTGCCTATTTCAAACAGCTATAATGGTGAAATAAGAAAATGTAATATGCAAATATTTCTAAAGACAAACTATCACAGAACAGTTATTAAAACTCTAGCAATTAAAATGAATGCAATTTTTAAAAAATGATGAATTCATAACTGAATCAAGAACTGAGGCCCCAGGTTGCCCCTACTCTTTTACCTGGGAGTGACCTGAGTGATGTCCGAAGGATGCAATATCCTACAGGTGGTGAAGGTGAATGTCGAGTTTGTGCATGACAGACACTTTCCTGGGTTTGAAGCTGCAACTTAAGCAGAGATTGACAGGGAAGAAAACAGAAAATCACAAGAGAAGGTTGGTAACGTAGAGTTCATCATTCACTAAGAATACAGCATTTATCAAGCTCCTTTTGTACTAAAGATCCCCAAATCTACAAATAAAACATAAAGACTGTGCTAGTATTAACTTGTGATTATAAAGCTCAATCCTTCAATACTTTCACCCAAGACTGTCCTTGATGAAGTACTAGAGATGATACATTTGTTAAGTCTTTACCCCTGACTGAGTGGTTAGTGTTCTAACGAAGTCCACTGTGGCTGCATATTGAGTTATACTGGCTACGTAGCACTTACGCAATAGTATAACTTGAGTTTTTTCATAGAACACTGGTTTTACTTGGAAGCATGACTAACAAACAATGATTGTTCAGACTGGGGTACTTGGTAAGCATTTTCTTGAAAATGAGTAATATGAGCTTGCTCCTTTAAGAAAATAGCCCACTGATACAATTTGCTACCAAAAACAAACATTTGAGTTTCAAGTATATTAACCACTAGCAGCTTAAAAGCTTGCTAGTAGTGCGTAACAGCTTTTCTGATGAGGTAGATGGTGATATTAATGAATGTGATATTAATACACGATAAAGAAATATGTCACTGGGAGATCTACACCACCATTATTTCCCACATGACTAATGTATTACATTACAAAACCACTATGGATAAAAGATGCATTCCCAGTACAATGTAGACCAATGGATTTTAATGTAGCAAGGTACGAAAATTTTGTTGATAGGGTTTTAGATTCCATGTTATAACAAATATTCAAGAAACTACCAAATAACAACCTTTGAAACAGTATCAAAGAAAAGGTTATTAATGTTTCCTTTTCTAACTACATATTTGTGTGAGGCTTCCATTTTTTTATACACTTCAACCAAAACAACAAAGTTAGATGAATGTAGGAACCAATTTGAAATTCCAGTTGTTTTAATGGAAATCCATAAATTAAAGAAGCTTGCATATAAAATACCATCACTATTAAAAAAAAGTTATTTTTCATAAAATGTGTTATTTGTGTTATGTAATTATTATTTTTAAATGAATTAACAGTTTAAAAATTGCTCAGTTTTGCTTTCCAATATGGTAAATTACCAGTAGCTATCACTTTTCATAGATGATCTGGAATCCTCGATGATTTCTAAGAATGCAAAGAGATCCTGAAACTGAGAGATTTGAAACCACTGACTGAATCTCTCTGCCCAGTCTATTTTTGCAAGGCTTACTAATTAAGGTCACCAGTTGCTCATGCTTTAGGTTTTCATTATCTTCTATTTCCAACACTAAGTGCACTCCTGTGCACTTAGTTGACCATACAGTAAGTCAGAATGCAAAGCACTACTAGTTACTAGGATACATTCAATCAAACATTTTTCTCACCTGTAACCAGCCCACCGGCTGAAGTAATGGGTGGGAGAAAGATTCCTGTTACTGGCTTGGATACTGGAGGCTCCTGTTCCAATTGAAGAGGTTGCTGAACCTGAAAAGTGATACCCTCCTCGTCATCCTCTTCCAAATCTGCGAGGTGATAAAGAGCATCCTTGGGCAACTGGGTAAAGCCTTTAGTGATGACACCTGGTCGTGGATCAAGAATAGTTCCCAAGTTTGGTTGAGCAAGCTGCTGCCAATGATGTAGAGTTTGTGATCCTGAGTATGGAAAACAAAAACAAAACAAAACAAAAGGCATGTCTTAAATTTTCCACAAATCTTAAATCTTGAAACAGAAGGAAAAAGTACAGACATAAAGGTAATAATCCACTTGATGGCATTTAATTACAACAACGATTATGATAGTAATTAGTTATTTGGGCTTAATATTTTGGTAAAATTTACAAATTAGAGGGCTCTGTGAGAGACTGACAAGAATAAAGAGGGTAAAAATAACAATCTATTTCAAAAGTTAGCATTAAAAAGGGCATGACATGAATATCACTGAATTGTACATACACAAATTGTTGATTTGGTAACAATGTTGTATATATTTTCATCGCACACACAGAAAAGCAGGTAATGAAATAACAACAACAAAGGCCCGGCTTGATTCGGAAGCATACTGCTGAGGTGATGATGAGAAGGAAGACATATACCTCAGACTTGGAGTGGTATTTCCCCTGGTGCCAAAAATCGAGACTCCTCTGGACTGCACTATGCCTCTGAACTTTGAAATTAAAATTAAATGTTTAATCAAAATTAAAAGCTAGGCTCCTACATTGGAAGAAGGCACCTTTAATTTTTGGTAGTTTGTTTACGTATTTCCCACTTTGATTATTCTCCCAAGTTCCCAAGGAGAGTAAGAAAATAAGGCGATGAAAGGAGGATGTAATCCATTGGTTCTAGTCTCTGAACCTTGATGAAGGATCATCCTGAGCATGTGCACTAGATGCAATGTCTTCATACTCTTTGTCACTCAGTCATTTTTCATCCTAAAAATATTCATTATGACAACAATCTGCATTGATCATTAGTGACTACAATGAAGCTACAGACCCTTTGAGTTTGACAGACCTTATAGGTTACTTAAGGAGTCCTGGTGGTCCAGTGGTTAAGTGCTCAGTTGCTAATGGAAAGGTCGGTGGTCTGAACCCACCAGCTGCTGTGTAGCAGTCTGCTTCCATTAAGGTTTCAGCCTTGGAAGTTGAAGTTCAGCCTACGGGGCAGTTGTGCCTTGTCCGTAGCATCATTATGAGTAAGAACTGATTTGATGGCAGCAGGTTATAGGTTACTTACTCAAAATTTTGTCTAATGTAGAATTCTGACGATACTGCCATATAATAATCTGAAGAGTATCAATACTCCATAAAACAAAAGACATTTTATTTAAAATTTCAATTCTGTCTTAGGAACTTGCAAAGCGTACTAATTGAAAGGGGAAAAAAAGAAAAACACATGTACATACACCTCTAAGTAAATTACATTTCTTTTTTTTAAGAGGTGAAGTCTTTAATCTTCATCACTAAATGCTTCAAGTCCTCTCATCTTCACTTCAACGTTTTGTTAATGAGCCTTCCTCCAACCCTAATGCCACATACTTTCTTTAAATTTTTTTATTTTTGCTTAATAAAGATTTTCTAATTTTGTAGCACTACAAATCACTTTACAAATGATTACACAGTAATTGTAAATTTTTTTAACTCCCCATTTTCTTTCTCTCTTTTATAAAGTTTTCATTGTGAATTGAGTAATAGTTTACATGAGAGAACACAGGTTTTACACTCATCCTATTCTATTTCATTTCACTGCAATGGCTACAATTCCCTCCGTGTATCATCATTCAACAGTATTTGCTTCTTTATATAATTCAACTTCTCAGATTAATTGCTCAGCATATAGATTAAATAAGTATGGTGAAAGGACACATCTTTCCTGATTTAAAACCACGCAGTATCCCCTTGTTGTGTTTGAATGACTGCTTCTTGGTCTATGTATAGGTTCCTCATGAGCACAATCAAGTTTTCTGGAATATCCACTCATCACAGTGTTTCCATAGCTTGTCATGATCCACACAGTTAAGTGCCTCTACATAATCAATACACACAGGTAAACATCTTTCTGGTATTCTCTGTTTTCAGCCTACATCCATCTGACATTCACAATGACATCCCTCATTCCATGTCCACTTCTGAATTAGGCTTGAGTTTCTGAAGACTTGCTGTTTACAAATGCCTTCAGTGCAGCTTGGACTTCTTTCTGCACTATTGGATCTTGATCATGTGCTACCCTCTTGAAATGAACTTTGATCACTGCTTTTTGGTACAGTGAATCTGTGTATTCTTCTTCCTTTTTTTTAAATAAGTTTTTATTGTGAATTGTTTACAGTTTTACATTAAACAAATCATATACTTCGTTTCATTACAATGATTATAATCCCCTTTATGTACCATCAGTTAATAGTATTTCTCTCTATTCATTTTAACTCTTTTTTAAACACTCAGGCATATATAATAATTTACACCATCAAAGGGTACATTCTGCAAGTCTGCCTCCTGGCTGCTAGCTCTCAGTCCCTCTCTTTCCATGAATCTAGAGTCCTCAGCTGCTCCCTCTCTCCATGTCCCCATCTCTGCCTCCTTCTCTGGTGTCACTGCTTCTCTGGTTAAGGTCCAGCATTCTGCTTATGCTCTTCTCCCATGATGGTCCTAGGGTCCTCTGTTTCTGGACTGTAAGATTAACTACTCCCCTGTTTTTATTATAGAACTTCTACCTTTACAATTTTGACAGTCGCAAATTAGTCATGATCATAATTACTCACTACTGAATCATTAGAATCTTATCCCCATCTCTTTTCACCAGACCCATCTAACCAAGATGAAAACTATTTAGTGGAGACTCTTTCTTCCCCTACACACTCTTAAACTCCCTCTTGAAACCTTGTAAGCCAGTCACTTTGTGTCTTTATCACCCCCTCATTTTAGGTAGCCAATGTCTAAGTTGGCCGCCCCTATCCACCCTGTAAACAGAGGGGATAGCATTGAAGTGAAGATTCCTTCCTTCTGTTGGTATTTTGAGCTAGTACCACCATGAATATAGGTCAGGTTCATCAGTAAATTACATTTCTTGGAGAAAGAATTGTTTCTTCAAAAGGTGGGTAGAGATGAAGGATTATATATCATTTTTATTTATCTATCAGATTCCATTTATCTTATCATGGAAATAGCTTAGTGATATTTCTTAGCAAAGAACAGGGAAAGATGACTGCTTTTCTCTCATATTTCTATAAATAACATCAGAAGAGAATGGACAGCAGATCACAGACAGAAAGCAGACCTCTTCACTCATTAACTTCCCACAAAGTCCTGCACTACACTGTCACCAAAACAGCAGAGCTGTAGGACTGCTGAAGACCTCCCCGTGCATGCTGCTCCTACTATTACAACTTAATTCTCCAGGCCAGAGGAAGGAAAGGCCAAGAAGCCACATAGCATGGAAAGAGCTCTCATACCTTCAAGGGGCTTGACAATCTGTAATTTTTCTGGCATAAAACCTCGAAGGCAACTGGCACTGCTGAGGTCTGTTATCTCTGACTGGTCAGTGCAGAGAGTAGCAAGGCTCTCTGCAGGGCTGTCACAATCATTAGTCCCTTCTTTTTCATCAGCCAGAACCTGGATCTTCCGTTCCCATTCTTGGGCAAAGAACTGCTTCTCACTCAAATAGTTCTGTCGACGCAGACTGAGGCGATGCAGTGCTGTAGCCAAATCACTGTCTCCAGAGGTTCCTGGCTGACCCATCTCCTGAGCATTCCTATGGGGAGAACACACCACTGATTAGCTGCAAGCGTCCTAAGCACAATCTGGATTTCTCTTCCATAATGGCAGATGCTCAAGAGACTGACCTTAAGAATGACTACAGGTAGTCCCCGGGTTACCAATGACATCAGTCCCTCAGTGTGTCTTTCAGTTGAATTTGTAGGCTAAGTTGGTACAGGTGTAAATGGTTCTTAGGTAGCTTTACTTTACTGTTAAAAAAAGTCTTGAAGTCATTTTAATGATTTAAGAACTGCATGGGCAGTGAGTGAAGGTGACTATAATGAAGAATTTGTTCTGAGTAGGGGTTGGTTCACTTGTTTCAAAGTTGACATGTAATGTTTACATAACATTTAAGGGCAAGTACAAGCTGTCCATAACTTCCAGGGACTTCCTGTATTTCTTTCTTACGTATCTGGGATATAGAAGAAATACTACCAAAACACAAAAACAGTACCCTACATAACTTTTAAGATCATTTCAAATGACTCAGATCAAAATAAACCTTATTAAGTTGTGTTTATTAACTTTCTACTTCATTCAATTTATGAAACTACAGATGTGACCAATCATAAATTCAGTTTGCATAGTCAAAAGAAGTAAATATTTTACTGAATCACTTTCTGGAATTCTCTGCTTTCAGCTGAGATCCATCTAAAATCAGCAATGAGATCCCTCATTCCATGTCTTCTGAATCTGGCTTCAATTTACGGCAGTTCCATATGGGCCAGGTAGTTAGTTATCTTCCAAATTTCTTGGTGTAAATGGGTGATCGCTTCCAGTGTTGCATGTATTTGCTGAAACATTTTAATTGGTATTCTGCCAATTTCTTGTTTTAGCCAATGCTTTCAGTGTAGCTTGGATGTCTTTTAGTACCATCAGTTCTGAATCATATGCTACCTTCTTGACATGGTTGAACATTGACCAATTCTTTTTGGTACAGTGACACTGTATTCTTTCCAACTACTTTTGATGCTTCCGGCATCATTCAATATTTTTTGCCCATAGAATCCTTCAGTATTGCAAGTCAAGGCTTGAATTTTTTTGTTTCAGTTCTGTCAGCCTGTGATGCTGAGCATGTTCTTCCCTTTTGGTTTTCTTTGTATAAGTCCTTTGTTTCTCTTGTTATGTTTATTCCTAGGTATTTCATCCTTTGCGTGGCTATTGTAAATGGTATTGCTTTCCTAATGTCCTTTTCATCATTATTGCTGTTGCTATAGAGAAATCCAATTGATTTTTGTATGTTGATCTTATACCCTGCCACTTTGCAGAATCTTTCAATGAGGTCTAAAAGTTATTTTACTGAGTCTTTGGGGGTTTCTATGTATAGGATCATATCATCTGCAAATAAGGAGAGTTTTACTTCCTCTTTGCCAATTTGGATGCCTTTAATTTCTTTATCATGCCGTATAGCTCTGGCTAAAACTTTCAGCACAATATTGAATAGGAGTGGTGACAATGGGCATCCTTGTCTGGTTCCTGTTCGCAGGGGGAAGGCTTTCAGTTTCTCTCCACTGAGCGTGATGTAGGCTCTTGGTTTTGAATATATGCTCTTGATTGTGTTGAGGAATTTCCCTTCAATTCCTATTTTGTTCAGTGTTTTTATCAGAAATGGATGTTGGATTTTGTCAAATGCTTTTTCTGTGTCAATCGATATGATTTCCTTTTTCTTATTTATATGATGGATTACACTGATCATTTTCCTGATGTTGAACCATCCTTGCATCCCTTTTATGAAGCCCACTTGGTCATGATGTATTATATATTTGATGTGCTGTTGGATTCTGTTGGCTAGGATTTTGTTGAGAATTTTTGCGTCTATGTTCATGAGGGATATTGGTCTATAATTTTCTTTCTCAGTGATGTCCTTCCCTGGTTTTGGTATGAGGGTTATACTTGCTTCATAAAAAGTATTAGGGAGTTTTCGATCCTCTTCTATGTTCTGGAATAATTTGAGTAGAACTGGTGACAGTTCTTCTCTGAATGTTTGGTAGAACTCACCAGTGAAGCCATCTGGACCTGGGCTTTTTGTTGGTCGGGAGTTTCTTGATGATCTGGTCAATTTCTTCTTTTGTTATGGGTTTGTTCAAATTTTCTACTTCAGGCTGAATAAGTTTAGGTAGGTCATGTTTTTCTAGAAATGTATCCATCTCATCCAAATTTTTGAATTTGCTGGAGTACAGCTCTTTGTAGCATTCTGTTATTATCTTTTTGATTTCGTTTGGTTCTGTGGTGACTTCACCTACGTGGTTTCTAATGCTATTAATTTGTGTCCTCTCCCTCTTTCCTTTAGTTAGTTTTGCCAATGGTTTGTCAATTTTATTAATCCTTTCAAAGAACCAGCTTCTTGTCCTGTTGATTTTTTCTATAGTTTTTCAGTTTCCCTTTTGGTTTTCTAACTCCAGTTCTTTATTCATTTCATTGTACTACTTTACTTTGCCTTCTCAAGCTGGTGTTTGAAATCTTCTGTTCAGTTCTTACACTTCATCATTTCTTCGAATTGCTTTAACCTATACTTTCTAGAGGGAGTTTCGTAGTTTCTTCTGACATCTACTTTGATTTTTTTCTTTCTTTACAGTTTTAGTAGTGATTTTTTGCTTTCTTCATGTATCATATCCTTGATGTCATACCACAACTCATCTGGTTTAGTAATTAATGTTCAATGCATAAAATGTGTTGAGATGGTCTCTAAATTCTAGTGGGATATACTATAAGTTGTACTTTGGTTCAACTTTCTGCTTTTAATTTTCTGAAGCTTCAAACTGAACTAGCATATGAGCAATTCATGGTCTGTTCTGCAACTTGCCCTGGCCTTGTTCTGACAGATACCGAGCTTCTCCATCTTCTCATTTCACAGACATAGTCGCGTTGACTCTGGTGTGTTCTATTTGGCGAGGTTCATATGTATAGTTATTGTTTGTGCTGTTCAAAATGGTATTTGCAATGAGTAAGTTGTTTGTTGGTCTTGCAAAGTTCTATTATTCAATCTCCAGTATAATTTCTATTACTAGTGTTGTATTTTCCAACAACTGATCCTTCTTTGTTTCCAACTCTTGCCATTCCAATCACCAGTAATTATCAATGCATCTCAGTTGCAAATTTGATCAAGTTCAGACTGAAGAAGTTGGTAAAAACCTTCAATTTTTTCATCATTGGCATTAGTGGTTGGTTGTAAATTAGAGTAACAGTCAGTCATTTTAACTGGTCTTGCTTGTGGGCCCCAGGATACTATCCTACACTGACAGTGCTGTACTTTAGATTAGATCTTGAAATGTTCTTTTTGACAAAGAATGCAACACAATTCAATTTGCCTTTCTTGGCACAGTGGACTCTGCAAGTGTCTGACTGATTAAAACCAGTCCATTTCAGCTTTCTAATGCCTAGGATATTGATGTCTCTGTATTCTATTTCATTTTTTACAACATTCAATTTTCCTGGATTTATGCCTCATGCATATTTATGTTCTAATTATTAATGATGTTTGTAATTGTTCTCATTTTGATTTATGACACATCAGGAATGAAGCTATCGCCAGCTTTACTCCATTCACATGATTAAGGTTGACTCTACTTTGAGGGAGCAGCTCTTGCCCTGTAACATGGATTGCCTTCCAATCTGAGGGGCTCATTTTCTGGCACTATATTGGGTGATGCTTACCTTCTAGATATATATTATTCAATGATATGAATTAATGAAAAAGAAAAAAAAATCTTAAACAAATTCAAGAATTCAAGAGAAATTCTGGTTTTCCTCTACATGTTTTCAAATTATATTTTGTAACCAAAATAGAGCAAAAACATTCAGACTACAAACATAAATTAAGAAGTGTCATCTGATGCTAAGTATAACTGTCAATGAATGATCAAGCAGATTCAGACAAATTTGTCTTTGAAATGGAGATGATTTAGATGCAAACTTTGCAATATTAAAGAAGAAAATAGTAGAGAATTATATAGCTGAATACAAACTCCATTTAAAATATTTAATGTAGTCTTTTCATTCCAAAAACGATTATAAAACGACCTGCCTTACAAATAACGAGATAGGGCATTATTACTGAATGAAAACTTGTCGTTTCAAAATCTGCTTGGGATAGTACAGATTAACACCATGATTTGAACAGATGAATCTGGTTATGTGAATTCCATAAGAAAAGCAGAATTACTGTCAGAATCAATGTTCCTTACCCAGGAACCTCCTCTGAGATGCTGCCCTGCTTCAGAAATGTCTTGTCCTCTGACTGCTGTAAACCCGACTCAAAAGGTTTTGCTGTCATGATGACACTTGAGCGGTTGGAGCCTGGAATGGGCAGCAGAGCTGGGAATGGGACAGAACGTCCCCGTGTATCATTGGCAACCTTTACGGTGTCAAATACCCGTTTCTGTTGGGCTCTGTCAAAAAGGAAATGTGCATTACTGCCACAGTACTTCAGAAAATAGACACATATGTGCAGTCTGTTAAAAATAAAGCCACCATGAACAGCCGTTGAAGTTTAGTGCAGAGTAGGAGAAATCATCAGAAGATAAACTCTAGGAGCAGAGAACTTGAGAAAAAGCAAAGGAAATACACAGGCAGAAGGTTATGGCAAATGTGGTAAAATGCTATAACCTGAAGAATCTAGGTGAAAAACACAAGACAGTTCTGTATACTATTTTTGAAATAGTATTCTAAGTTTAAAATTACTTCAAAATATAAAGTTTTAAAATGCACTAAACATGGAAAAATAGCAAGGAAAATGCTTGTCTCTATATCCTTAAGAAAAGTCAACTAAAATTTATACTTTCGATCTATTAAAAATTTTTATAGTATTGTACAAGTGGAATTTTTTCTATATGAGGGAAAAATGAATAGTAAGCCATTCACTTATACTCACTAGTCTTTATTATTTTGAGTTGTAGTTTTTTTATTTCCACTCTAAAGCTTCGGTAACAGTACATGTGGTCACTACTTACTTTTGTTTAAAGAGAGAAGACTCCTCATCCAAACTCAACTTTTTACGCATGGTCCCCTCAATCTCAGCTGCCAAAGACTCCTAAGCAAAAAGAGTTTGAGATTGCTAAAGGGATTGTATAAAAATCCTACTGAAGCAAAGGAATTATCCTTAAATAAATTAAGAGTATCTATAATTTATACTTTTTGTATTTTAATAAAATAAAACATAAGAAAAAAGTCTCAGGATACAAATCCTGACACTTTGGAAAATTAATGTAAAAATAATAATCAACTATCTTTTCATGACATATTTTTAATAGGAAATCAGTGAAAAAACTATGATAAATAGAAAATACTACATATACAGGCACACAAAAATAAAATGCCTGAAAGAATATAAACTAAGAAGTAAATAAGTAATTCTCTGGAGGATAAAATTTAATGGTCCTAATTCTAACTTTTCTATAATAAACATATACAGCTTTTAAAATATATATATAAAAAATCATTAAAAAACTAACAAGCAATTTTCTCCTTCTCTTGGCAAGGGATGTGACTTTAACTAGCAGGGGCGACATGCTCATGATTTTTGATTTGTCATTGTTGTTGTTGTCAACTTATGCTGTGGCTGCTAAGTCACTTCCAACTCAGCTGGTGGGTTTGTACCGCTGACCTTGTGATTAGCAGTGGAGCACTGACCCTACAACAGTACCATGATGGTGGTGATGTGCCATGGAGTCGGTTCCGACTCACAGCGACCCTGAACAGGGTTTCCGAGGCTGTAAATCTTTACGGGAGCAGAAAGCCTCATCTTTCTCCTGCAGAGCAGCTGGTAGTTTGGAACTGCTGACCTTGAGGTTCGCAGCCCGATTCTTAAACACTACGCTACCAGAGCTCCTTTACAGTACCATACCAGGACATGTATACCCATGTACATATGTGAATGTAAATATGAATGGAAAGATAAAGTGTGTACTGTGTGGGTGTATGTATAAATATTTCCTAGCTCTATCTGTTGAGGGGACTCCTAGTGTGGCGCTAGGGTCAGCACTGACTGTGAACCACAAGGTCAGCAGTTTAAACCCACCAGCTGCTTCTTGGAACCCTATACAGGGTCGCTGTAACACGACAGCACTTAAAACATCTGTTGAGAGGGCTTAAAGGTGGCACAATTAGCACTCAGGTATTGGATTCTAAATATCATTTCTCATTAAAAGGGGCCAAGGATCCCTGGATGACTCTCTTTTGCCAGAAAGAAAAGTACTCAAAGAATGATGATGTTGTTAGGTGCCATCAAGTTGGTTTCAACTCACAGGGACTCTTCATACAGTAGAACATAACAGTACCTGGTCCTGCATTCTCCTCATAATCATTGCTATGTTTGAGCCCAAAAGAATGATTGGAACATGTCAAAGAACACCAGAACAGCTGGTAGGGGCCTCACATTAGCCAAATCTAGGACAATTTGAGTACAAGATCAATAATAAAAATTAGTTCAGGAAAAAGAGAGGGCAAGACAGAGAATGTTATGGCAAATGTAGTAAAATGTTAAAACCTGAGGATTCTAGGTGAAGAATACATGACAGTTCTTTGCACTATTCTTGAAAATTTTATTCTAAGTTTAAAATTACACCAAAATAAAAAACTAAAAAAATAAATCACCAAGTGAAACAAAAAAGTAGATTGGACTATCTGAATATAATAAGAATCTACTTTGTTGTAGAAACAACTGGCAGGCACTACCTTAATAAACTGATCAAAGTTAACAAGACCAGTTATGGAGTAAATAGATGTTGTGCATCTCCTGATATGCTACACAGGGCATAACATATATGGCATTTCTGCCCCAAATGCACTACCTGAATCTAATCATGAGAACAGCACACAAACTGAGGTTGAGTTTGGCTACAAAGGTCATGAAAGACAGGTAAAGACAGAGGAATTGTCCCAGACTGAAATAACAGAATGCAAGGTGTCCTTAAAAGGATGCTACTGGGACAACTGGTAAAATGTAAATGGGCTCTGTGGGTTTATTAGTAGTGTCGCTGTCCATTTTCTGATGTTGATGAATGTTGTTGGCTAAGTAGTGAAATATCCTTGAGAGTGTCCTTGTTTTCAGAAAACATACACTGAAGTACTGAAGGTCACTGGAGTGTATCTGCAGCCTGGCCTTGAATGGTTCAGGAAAAAGTGAGGGAAACACTCAGACAGAATGTTACGGCAAATGTGGTAAAATATTAAAGGCTGAGGAATCTAGGTGAAGAATATGTGACAGGTTTTTCTACTATTCTTGAAATTCTGTTCTAAGTTTAAAATTAACTCAAAATAAAAAGTTAAAAAACGAAAAACCAAACCAAACAAACAAACAAAATTCACGTCTCTGTATCCTTACAAAAAATGAACTAAAATTTATAATGTAAAAATTTTCAAAGGATTATAATTAAGTATTTAAGATCCATATTGTTAAAGCAATCATTTGATCCAATACTACAAATTTTGTATTGACTCAGACATTTCATTAAAAAAAATGACACTGTTGACTGGTGAATTAGACAAACATGATTCCTGTCCTCATGGGGATTACTTACTGAAGGACGTTTGAGATGTTCAGGGCACTGTTTGAATACGTGGCATATATGTGTGCTGAATACTTACTGAAGGAGGTTTGAGGTGTCCACTGTTTGAATAAGTGGTACATGTGTGCTGAAGGTAAAGGTGAGCTAAGTTTAAGTAGTTTTATGATAACAGAGGTCAAAACCCAATTTCCTTACAGTTCATTGCATGTATTACAATAAATGTGAAAAATCAGGGAGGCTACAATAAATGAGTATTAAGGAAGATGAAGATGTACAAATTAAGACTTTAATCAATTATACATTTCAAAACAAGGACAAACAATGTTCTCTTTTCTCAAGATGCTTGTCACCATTATAAACCATATCAATCTCAGGAAATTCTAATTTTAAGCAAGTGTCCTTAAATACATAGTATCTTCTCAGTTTCTTACCCCAGAAAATTCTCCATATGACTGGGAGGGATAGAGATGAGCAGCAGGGCCAGATCTACTACGGAGTTCCTTGATTTCTTCTTGGGATTCATGCAGCATTCCCAGACATTCCATGTTCCTGTCTTGTAACTCATGCAGCTGAAATGCATAGATGATTAGTGTACTACATACTTTATGATCTTCTCAAAACAACAATGGGGGGAAAGTTTAGTTTATTCAGAGAACGAATTGAATTTAAGAACATCATTTCAATACAAAGAGTAAGCAAAAAGATAAGCATTCAAGCTACCAAAAATTAGTAGTGTCTTGGACAAAATTACATGTAAGTGTGAGTTTTTAAAAATCTGAAATATAACTGAGACAATACAGAACTGCCCATTCAATGTTCAATTCCTCACCCTCAAAACAACTCATGCTGCTGTTGTTGAGTACTGTAGAGTCAGTTCTCATAGCAACCCTGCATAGGGTTTCTGAAGAGCAGCTGGTGAATTTGAACTGCTGACCTTGCAGTCCAACTCTTATTCTACAGCATTGACTTAATGAATTAGAAAGTCCATTTAAAACTCACTCCCCAATTTATCTTATGCATGCAAAGGAGCTATTATCTTAAACATTACATCTAACAGTATTTTTCAAGTATGTTAGAAAAAAACAGCAAAAATCTCTTTATTTATATATATATAAATGTTCTCACTACATAAAAGACATTTATGTAGTTAAAAAGTCAGAGATTTTTGCTATTTTTCCTGATATAGTTGCAAACACTCTATTTATTCTTGGCCCTTCCTTATTACATAAGATAAAGGACGATGTCATTACCTCCATTGTTAGCTGTCTTTGAGCATCCTTGGAAGCTTGCAGGTGAAGTCTTAGTTCTTCCTTCTCAATCACATGCTAATAACATATTAAAAGAAACATGTGAAGCTTTTCCCTCTAACACACAGCTTCTCAGTCTCTTAGCTATCCTAAGAGTTTGTTTCTGACATATAGTCTAGAGGCCTACAAAAGTCCATTTAAAATCTGAAGAAGAGCAGTAAAATATGCAGAAAATAAAATCCATCAGGGGAGGGAAAAGTAGGCAATAACTAGATGGTGGACACATGTTAACTTGGGTGACAGAGAAAACAATATTAAGACAGAGCTCAGCTTAAATGATGGAGGCAGGGGAAGACAATGAGAGAAGTGCAGGAGTTAAAGATTAATACCGCTATAGACACAATCCTGCAGTTACCATCATCTCCAAGCAGATGCATGGATAAGTAAGTATGATGAATGAGTGAAGGAAAGTGAGTGGAACTATACCCATCAGTATATGTATATAGGTTTGACAGAGAATACTTCTACATGTCTATAACTAATATATGCTGCAAATACACTCATGAATTTGGTAAGCATACAGGGGCAAAGTTATGAAAACTTCTTGGACATAATCAAATACTCTAAACAAATGAGTCTCTGTATCTGGGAGGTTAGAACCATAGTCTCAGGGGACACTAAAGTCAACTGGCATAACATAGTTCACATACAAAATAAGACAATAAGCTGGAGTCAATAATTCACCCTACAAGTTTCTGAGAAAAAGCAAATTCCATTTTACCAAGAGAAATTATGACTTGAAAGTAGCTTCTGCAATATTTCATGAGAGGGAAGATTAAAGCAGAAATCAGACTAACACACTTTGAAAGAGCAAGGGCTGCATTTATTTGGCTTAACATATGTCTGGTACCCTGGAGAGTGATTAGTATTAGGTGAGTGCTTAATAAGCATCTGCTAAGTGAAGAAATAAACCTACTTCTTTAAGTTTGTGCTGAAGATCTACAATCTGAGATAGGAGTGAAGAGATCTCTTCTTGATATCGAATCAGTTCATCACTCTTCCCTGACAATTCCTCAGTCATTCTAGACATCTGAGCATTTGTTTCACCTTGGGAACAAAATAAAAAATTTTAAATTAATATAAATATAGAGCACGGGTCAGCAAAGTTGGTCCATAGACCAAGTCCTGTTTTATCACAAACACTAAACTATTACAAATAGATTTCTATGTAAATTTAAAAAATAAACCCAGAGAAACCAATGATAGGAATTGAATTGTAGGTTGTTACAGTTAAGTGCTGCAAGTCAGTTCTGATTCACAGTGACCCTGTACAGGGTTTCCAAGAAGCATCTGGTGGCTTTGAATGGCCAACTTTGTGGTTTGAAGTCCATTGCCGATCCTACAGCACCACACCAGAAGTCCACAAAAAGCGAGAGACTTGTAAAAGGCAAGCATGTGACAGATAAGGCAGGGAATTTGCTCCAATCCTTTTCTTTGTAAAGAACAAGAAGGTGAAAGGAGAGGTAGGTGAATTATATATATCTGCAAATGCCTAGAGGCTATCTCATTTATTTCTTTGAGATGAAAACTGAGCTTAAAAATATATCAAAGGAACATTTCCAGGAGTGGAGCAGCTGTAATCTATAACAGAATGTGGTCTTAAAGCTACTGAAATGCCTCTTAAGAGCAGACTTTCCTTAGAACCTGGTAAACTGAGGAGGGTCTCAAAAGCAACTCACAAACATAGCATGTTTGCTTGCACATGAAACTGAAACAGAATCTTTAGAATTCTACTGGAGAAATAAACCTTTATTTCATATAAAAACTCTATCTTGTCAATGCTATATAAGGATGATTTTCAAGATGACAGCAAGCTGAGGCTGTCTGCTCCTATAAGGATTTACAGCTCCGGAAACCCGAAGGAGTCATTCTACTCTGTCCTATAGGGTGGCTATGAATCAGAATCAACCTGAAAACAATGGGATTTCATGTCTGTTTCCTCAACAACAAAATGATAGCTTTGTTTACTTTCACTCTAACATGCTATAGTTTTATTTACAGAAATATAGGTCTTTATTTAAAGATGATGGCATTTGGAAACAAAGAATCCTCTTTAAAAATTACATATATGAGCGGGCTTAAAATTTTTTGTGAAAATGTCCATCACCTTTCATTTACGTTTTTCCAGAAATATTTTTAAGACTCCTTGTATAGTATGTTATTGAGAATCCTGGGCTCCATGTGGTTTCCAGTAGCTTTTTTAGTTTGAATTTAAATTTTTTGAGTGTGATACTTATTGAATTTCTTGATATAAAGGAATTGGAGGTATGCTACCAAAGAATCACCCAAAGACTGCAAGATAGACTATGTCAATACTTACGAAGCTCTTTAACACAGTCATTGACAAGCTGTTGTTCCTTCTCTTCATAGGTAATAGTTTCTGTCTTTATGTGACAAGCCTTCAAGAAAAGAATAATTGGTATCATCTTACAATAATTTCATAGGAGTAACTACAAAAACCTATTTTTCATATGAAGATTACTACTAAAGAACAACAAAAAAAACGAAAATCCTTAAAACTATCTAACATAACACAGAGGCATGGAAAAGGACATAATAAACACTCTGCCCCACTCTGTTCAGGGCTTTTGTAAATTCCTTGTGGAGCATGGTGACTCTGCAGCTCTTGGGGAACAGAATAAACATTGGACCGTGAACCACAAGGTTGGTGGTTTGAACCCACCAGCCACTTCACTGGAAAAAGATGAAGTTTTCTGCTTCTGCAAAGATTTACAGCCTCAGAAAACCTATATAGGGCTGCTATGAGTCTGAAACATTCCATCATCTTTTAATTCAACTTTTCCATGAACTTTAAAGCCTTCTCGTCTACCTACCCTTAATTGTGATGTGAATGGCAAACACTTTCACCTCAATTATGCCATCTTTCACCTCAATACCACATGGACCTGAACCTTAAAAACCCTTTAAAAGTAAAGGAAAATTAGAATTAGAGTAAAGATACCTTAGATCGAAGAACCATATTCTCTTCTTCCAGTTCCTTAAGCTTTTCCTGCAGCATGTCCAACTGCAGCAGACCTTGAGATAAGCTAAAGGACTCATTGAAGCGCAGAGGTGTAGAACAGCTGGAGTCAGTTTCACTCTCTTCAGAAGCAATGGAAACAATCCGAAGTAACTCCTCTTTCTTGGAGAGCTCATGCTGCAGCTGATGAACCTGTACACAAGAGGGCTTGATTTACAAGCTGCTCTTTAATCTGCATTATTTACATGGAACACAGCTTCTAAATCATGAAACAACTGCTTCTCACCATAAAACAAGAGCAGTTGCCAGATTTTGCTGACTAGAGTTATAAGTATCGTAGGGGTTACAAGTCGGCCTGCTAATCTCATGGTCAGCAATTTGAAACTACCAGCCGTTCTGCAGAAGAAAAATCAAGCTTTCTGCTCCTGTAAAGATTTACAGCCTCAGAAACCCTATACAGGATCGCTATGAGTCAAAACCGACTCCTTCGCACGTAACTGCTACCACCCCCACCAGAGTAACAAGTACTATAAGAGAAATAATCTTAGAAGCTTCCTGAGCTACAATTTTAGTGCACTCACTCAACAATACAGTTTTCTAATATGAGCAGAGTAGCAGTTTTCACATTCTACATGATAAAAATAAATAGAACAAAAATTTCACATAACATTTTCAGTTAAAAGCAAAACAAAATTGAGAACCGTCAAAATATTAGAATTGTTGTTGTTAAGTGCCATCGAGTTGGTTCCGACCCATAATGACCCTGTATAGGGTTTCCGAGGAGCAGCTGGTGAGCTTGAACCACCGACCTTGCAGGTCAAATGGCTTTGCAGTCTGGCACATTAACCCACAGGGCCAAACCCTACTTATATTCTCACCCTAACAACTGTAATTTAAATGGTGTGTAATTTGGCATATCTTCTTAGGAGTACTGATTTTTTGTTCTAGAGAATAAATGTAATTTCTAATGTACAGACTGAAATGTCATTAACCATGCATTTAATAAAATAAAAATGGAACCAGGTAAGAGTAAAAAGTCATATAACATTTGAGGTTTAATCACTACATATAACATTTGAGGTTCTCATTACAAATATTTATTGCTGTGAAACACAATATTTTAAAAGCTTTCTTAGTGTCTACTTTTGTTTTTTGATGAAGATGCCTACAGGTAGTATTTGTGGATCTATTTAAAAAATAAATTTAATATAAGATTACTCATAAAGTTTACAAAAAGGGGTGAGGAAAAGTGGTAGGATTTAAGCAATGTATCCCAAGTACTATAGAAATCAAATACAGGCTTTTATATTGACAAAGGCAGCATCACACGAACAAGCCTCTGTACAGTAGCATTTCATTCTCTACCGGCTACTGCATCTGCTGCCAACAAAGTCAGCATGTAATGGTGTGATCTGCCTGATGTTATCACTTCAGAGAAGGCTAAGTTTCTCCATTACTCAATAGCTAATTAATTCATGCTCTAAATACTTGACCAAAGGCTTACTTGATCAAAGGCTTGTCCCAATTGCTCCTCCAGGGCTTCATTCTGCTCAGATAAGACATGGTTCCGCTTTAAGAGAGCTTGTCCAATTCGAGCTGCTAGTTCCAGATCACGATCTCTCTGTTAAAAGAGCAAATATACGTTGCCTTTGAGTGGGGAAGAAAAAAAAAAACACACACCAAAAAGGTAGTTCATGCAATTCATTTTGCTAGTCTCAAAGGAGATGTCCTAGGAAGCACCACTCTGGTATGGCACTGTAGGATTAGCAGTGGACTATGAACTATAAGGCGGCAGTTCAAACTCACCAGCTGCTTCCTGGAAACCCTATACAGGGTCACTATGAGTTGGAGCCAGCACTTAACAGCAAAAACAACATGAAGCATAAAGATTCATTCAGCTGGTGTTTAACAAACACTGGCCAAATAGATGACCATCAAAGTTATAAATGTTAACAGGACATCTCTTTTCTTGTTATGTTGTTGTTGTTGTTAAGTACCGTGGAGTCGGTTCCAACTCATAGTGACCCTGCACAGGGTTTCCAAGGCTATAAATCTTTATGGGAGCAGAACGCCTCATTTTTTTCCCCTGCAGAACCGTTGGTGGTTTCGAACTGCAGGCCTTGAGGTTAGCAGCCCAATTCATAACCACTACAATACTAGAGCTCCTTTTTCTTGTTATAGAGTGTGAATTATTGAACATCCTAGTAATTGGGCCATTGCAACCCAATCTTTAAGTTCTAAACTCAAGATTTTGAAGAGCTGCAAAATCAATGAAAACACAGCTCTTACAAATGAGGACAGGGCCTGGCACATAGTAAAAGTCCAATAAATATTTGCTGAATACATTTGTCGATTAAGAATGGTAATAGAATTAGATATTTAAAGATGTATGGATCATCCAGGGTTGAAAAGCGTTCCATGTAAGGTAAAGATTACATGCATTCAGAGTAGGAGGCCTGGAGGAAGGCTCAGCAAGAAGCTTATCATCAACTGGTACAAGATAATGATGTGCAATGAAACAAAGGATAAAAGACTGGAGGCTTTGAGACTACAGTGTTCAGATTAGAGTACAGAGAGGAAGGGCGTCTTTGCGGTAATGATGTAGGGAAGCCAAGAAAACGTCAAGAGTTACTCTTCCTGGTAGATGACAGTACTGGCAAGGCTGTAAGGAATCCCATCTACTCCGTGGAGGTAAGGATTGCATTTTGTAGGACAGAACACTGTCAATATACATCTAGTGCCTTATGTAAGAGTCTGGGTTCTGCTCACAATAACCATCATAAATAAAATTAAACTTCCATGCTTTCTTTTCATGTACTAGAAAACAGGTTGATAGATTATTGCCAAAGTTTAAGGTCCACTTGAGGATTGTTTTATCATTGTAAAACATAAGCTATGTGCCATATTTGGAAATCACTGTGGGACCTACAGGGAGAGGGAAAAAGGGAACTTCAATAAGAAACACAGTTTTCCATCAGATTAACTGAAATTAAGGTACAAAGAGACTTCAGTGATTGCCAACTAGAAGACATACATTAAACATACTAAAAATGTCATGGATAAAGTGAGTTCAAATAATATTTCCAAACTGTAAAGTAAAAGAAACCGAAGGTTCCAACTGCTGGTACTGATTTGTAAAGGAGGTACTTTCAGAATAGGCAACTCCCAGGGTAAGAAATAGCAGGTTGTTTTTAAAATGAAGATCAATGCTTGTCTAGGCCTAGGAGGCTAGCTAGTACCATAATCAAAAGGGAACCCTCTAGAACCTCACACTACACTTCAGGAACCATTTATTCAGAGTATCAGTTGGTATGCTAGTTGTAGCAATCATACCCATAACAACACAAGCACAGACATCATCATTTTTCTTTGATGTGAAAATTTAATAGATTCCAAATGATCAAGTTTTAGTCATTTTTACTGGAGAAAGATAATCCTACCTCTGCCAGGAGATGTGTAACCATGTCGATGTCATTGTAAGTTTTGGTCATCTGCTCCACCCTGTCTGTGCCTAGAACTAAGAAAAACAAATTATATATGGACCTTAGAGAAAAATAACAGACTGTTTTGTTTATAAGATTTGAAAGAATACCCAGCGTTTACAAAAAGTCAACCAGAGAAATTAAAATACCTGCAAAGAAGAAAAGGAAGCACACATTTTCTTGTATTTGTTGTTGTTAAGTGCTGTCAAGTAGGTTCCAACCTATAGTGACCCTGTATGGGGTTTCCAAGGAGTGGCTGGTGACCTTGAACTGCTGACTTGCGGTTCAAACCGACCTTGCAGTCTAGCGCATTAACCCACAGTACCACACCAGGACACCTTTCATTTTCTGAGTGTTCATTAGACACTCAGAAAATAGACCAGAACAAAAATGTACATCATACAATGAATTTAAAATATCAGTGATCACTACATAGTCACCTCCTAACCAACCTCCATGTTCACTTTGTAAAACTTTGGCTCACTCACATTTGAGAATGGGGTAGGAGAATGGATTACACAATCAATTCCTTTATACCCTAGTCTAAAGCAGACTGTCACATCTTTCTCCTGAAAGACAGCTAATGGGTTTGGATCCCCACCCTTTAGTTAAGAGTCAAGCTCCTTAAGCACTACATTACTAGGGTTCCTTTCAAATTAAAGCTACTGAGGAGTTAAGTGAGAGGTCATGCTGTTGAAAAGAAATTTAATTAGACTTCTGATGTGGTTATCTTGAGAGTCTATGATCACATCATGAACTAATAACAGTAAACAAGGAATAGGACTTACAAGATTTGGATTTCGAACCACAACGTCTGCAGTTCGAGCCTTCCAGCCACTCTGAGAGAAAGATGAGGCTTTCTGCTCCCAGGAAGATTTAAAGCCTCAGAATCCATATACAAGGTCAATATGAGTTGGCACATAACAACAACAATGTTGTGAGCCTAAATATATATATATATATATATATTTTTTTAGCTTAATTAAGTACCCTTTATCTTTACAGTAAAAGGAGCTCTGGTAGCGTAGTGGTTACGAATCGGGCTGCGAACCTTAAGGTCAGCGGTTCGAAACTACCAGCCGCTCCGCGGCAGAAAGATGAGGCTTTCTACTCCCGTAAAGATTTACACCCTCGGAAACCCTGTACAGGGTCGCTATGAGTCGGAACCGACTTGATGGCACTTAACAACAACAACATCTTTACAGTAAGGAACTCTGGTAGCGCAGTGGTTACGAATTGGGCTGCGAACCGCATGGTCAGCAGTTCGAAAGTACCAGCTGTTCCGCGGGAGAAAGATGAGGCTTTCTGCTTCAGTAAAGATTTACAGCCTCGGAAACCCTGTACAGGGTCGCTATGAGTTAGAACTGACTCCACAGCACATAACCACCACCATCTTTACAGTAACCTTCACTGTATCTATGCCTGTGCTAAAAAATAATAAACTGTACACTAGTTCTGGTGTGGCACTGGACTGCTAACTGCAAGGCAGACAGTTCAAACCCACCAGCTGCTCCTAGGAAACTCCATCTAGTTGGAATGGTGAACCTTTATTCTGCCAAAACTTATACTAGCATTTATGGAGCATACAAAATTATCAACTTAAAAATTAGTCTGCTATATTTGGCCAAACATTTAATTAATTCACCCTAATGTGATGGCTGGAACTGTGGTTGCCTTGGCAGGACCAGACCAAAAGATTCTGAGGGCGTTATATGGTCCCACAGGGCCAGACATTCCCCACTCCTGCCATACAGGGTTGCTATGAGTTAGAACTGACTCGAAAGCAATGAACAACAATGCTATCAAGCACTACAGTTCTGTACTTTATAAACTCAGGAAATTTCAACACACTTGGATAGTTTAGCTCAGAAGTTGTTGTTAGGTGCTGTCAAGTTGGCTCCATGCACAACAGAATGAAACACTGTCTGGTCCTGCGCCATCCTCACAATTGTTACACTTGAGCCCATTGCTGCTGCCACTGTGCCAACTCTACAATGATTCCATAACACGCAGCATCCTTTTAAGCTTCATAAAAGAGCAATGCTTTGAATTTGGAACACATTACATGACATGTTATTCCAGTGCACAATTTTGTGTTTGATTAAGTTCAATTTTATAATCTGTGTGCCTTAAAGTGTGAAAAAAACAGATTTTGAAGCAGAAAACTTGAATTCATGTATTGGAGCAAGCGTGAACAATTCACTTAATGAAACTGAGATTCCATATTCATAATATGGAGGTGGTAACACTCAACTATCAACGTCACTAGGAGAATCAAATGGAATAATCTACTGAATATTAAAGCATTTAGTAGACTGCTAATTATCATGCAATTGTTTACAGTAACTATTCCTTAAACAGGACGATATATGAAACAGTACTGGCTTAAAATGTCTTCTAAGAATTCTGATTGGCTAGTTGGAGATCATGATTTAAGTCACCTGTATCTGTTAAGCTAATTCCATAGTCTCACCTGGAAAAAACTCAACAATCAGAAGTAAAGCATATTGAATGTTGTCTCCACATACCTAGTCTAGGTTGCCCTGAAGACTAGGTATGTGAAGACATCATTAAATATGGCTTACATCTGATGATGTGAGTTTTAAGTTGTTCTCACTTCGATAGCCATTTGCTGATCTGACTGCTTTTTCCCTCAGGTGAGTGGGGAATGATACTTACGGTTTAAGTACCAATAATAGTAGTGTTAGCCTAGTTAAACTAGTTGATCTTTATTATTCATAAATTCTGTACTTGCCAATTTGCCTACTTGTTGAGCCTAAAATCAATAGTCCAACACTTGTGCTGGGGTTCATGGGCATGCACGTGTAGAGGTGGGAGAAATCTGAATCACCTAACCCAGATGACTTTGCAGGCCAGTCCAGTGCATTAGCCCACAGCGCCACACTGTCGGTGGTTCAAGTTCACCAGTTGCTCCTTGGAAACCCTATATAGGGTCGCTATCGGTTGGATCCAACTGGATAGCACTTAACAACAACAACCCAGATGACGTTGAACAAGACTTATTCAATAACAAATTCAGTGTTTGAAGGTCTAGGAAAGTGTCTTAATTTAACATGGTAGGATAGGATCAACGAAGGATAAAAATATTAAGGCAGATGCTTACAGGGGTGGTCTGGTTTTTATACATTCTTTTAATTTCTGCTTATCTAGATATGTCCTAACTTTGCTGTCATAGTTGATTAACAGTTTTGTTGAATATATTATTATTGGTTAGCATTTTTTTGATTTCAGAGTTTTATATGTGTCATTTCATTATCTTCTTGTGTGCATGGTTTCTGCTGAGAAATCAGAGTTTCCTCTTATTAATTCTCCTTTGTAGATAGCTTTTTGTTTTTCCTAAGCTGTTCTCAGGATCCTTTCTTTGCCTTTGGTTTTGAAATGTTTGATCATAATACGTCTTGGTGTTTTTCTTTTGGAGTCTGTCCTGTTTAGAGTTTGTTCAACTTCTTAAAAAGTTATCTTCTTATTAGTAAAGTTTTTTCCAATAACTCTTGGACCATATTTTCTATTTTTTTTTCTTTTGTCTCTTCTTGTTATGGAATTCCAATCATAAATTATTCCTCTTGATAGTGTCCCACATAAACCTTATGCTTTGTTTCAATTTTTTTGTTCTTTTTTCTGATTGTTCCTCTAGCACATGAGTAGTGAGAAATTTTTTCTTCAAGCTCAGTAATTCAGTCTTCCACTGATTCAATTGTACTTTGCCCTTCTATTGTATTATTTATTTCTGAAGTCTTAGTGTTAATCTTCTGGATTGCTAATTGCTGTTTTCATATGGTTCCCACATCTTCACTTATTTTGTCAGTTTGTATCCTGAATTTTTCTATAGTTTTTCCTGTTTTCCTTGATTTCATCTGAAGTTTTCTCAATCACTCTCTCACTCTGTTGAAGATGCTTAATAAGGCTTCTTTTAAATTCCCTATCAGATAGCTCAGATAACATTTTCTGACTCTGTATTTTGGCCACATGTCTGAGGCATTGTCTTGTTTCTTCGTGTAAGCAGAAACTGTCTGTTTTCTCGGAGACACTGTGGTATCATATTTAAATTTAATTGATGACTGTATATTGGTGTGTTGTCAGGCACTCACCACCTGTCTCCTGGTGGCTGTGGTATATTCACTGTGTAGTGTAGGTCTGGGTGGGGTCATGTGCCCCCAGAATCAGGGGTGTTATGCCTGGCACCTGACTCCGGGCAGAGCAGAAGCTGCGCAGGATAGGTGTCACTGGCTGCTTTGGAGAGGGGACTGGGGAGAAGAGACACTGGCCATATCTCTGGCTAGCAGGAAGGCACAGAAACAAGGGAGAAGTGTACCCTCTTGCCACCGACCTCCAGCTGCATCCTGTGCCTGCAAGGCTGCTGTTTCCACAGTTGTTCATAAAAGCTCAAGATGCCCAACCCACTCCTGTTCAGCTTCCTCCTCCAGCACTCTACCTCACGGTCCCATCCTCTGAGACTCTGTTTCATGTTGTTTCTTGTGTTTTTGTTGCAGACGGTCGGCTCAGAGTGTCTGCCTACTTTGCCATCTTGCCCTAGAAGTCTATAGCTTCCAATTTTGTTTTTCCAAGCATGAGTGTATATTTATCAATAAACAGGGCTAGAAGGATATACATTAAAATATTAATGATTCTCTCTGGGTAGGGATTATGGCTGATCTGTTGTCTTCAGTTTTTTTATTAAATTCCATGAAAAACAAAAGCTATCCTTGTAAGCAGAAATAGCACTTCTCATTAATAGGTTTCAAAAAACAGGAATGAATTTCACAATGCTTATAAATATTTAGTCTGGCAAAGAAGGTAAGCAATGCAACTGGAATTCTCCAATTCTTATTTTTTTTATGTGAAACAGCCTACATATAGTCAAGCCTAGACAGTCACCTAAATGTGGACACCTCAATTTCACAGAGAGATGTTAGACATTCACTAAGCATATAGGTATACAATGGATTCCTTTCCGCAGTCTAGTCAGTTCTGTCTTCTCTTCCTTAACACACTACAAGTTGCTTGGAAGGATTCC